GCAAGGATGGCAAGACTTGGTCTCATGGACTTTAGACATGCTGCCAGAGGAGACTAGTCCCTGGAGAAGGACGCCATGCTTGGTAAAGTGAAGTAGAGGCAGGCCCTGGAAGAGAAGGGTGGACAGAGTGGCTGCAGCAATGGGCTCACGCCTAAGAACAAGCGTGAGGGTGGTGCAGGACCTGGCGGTGCTTCGTTCTGTTGAACATCAGGCTTCGCTATGAGTCAGAGCCACCTCCGTGGTACCTAACGACAGCAAACCCATCTCAGATCCTATCTTCTCTGGGAGGCTTTCCTAATCTTATCTTGCCCTTTCCTTTTTCTTTCATCCCTGGTATCACCTTAGCTGTACAACTGAAAGGAAGAATAGAGCTGTGCTTTTATCAAATTCTACTTCGGTAGTACGCAAATGGAGACTGCTGTACAACTAGGGGATCACCATGAGTCCAAACAGACTGCAGCTAACAGAAGTTCAAGAGGCCCTGGTGATGGTGCAGGGTAAGCATGCTGAACTTCTAATTGCAAGGTTGGCAGTTTAAACCCACCAGCTGCCTCTCCAGAGAAAGCTGAGGCTGTGTGCCCCCATAAAAGTTTACAGAAACTCTATAGAGGGTCGATGTAAATGAGAATGGACTCAATGGCAGTGGGTTTTTTGGGAACCTAAGGAACAGGGAGGGCTGGGTGGCTGGTTACATGTTGGGTTGCTAACTGCAAGGTCAGTGGTTCGAACCCACCAGCTGCTTTGAGGGAGGGAGATAAGGTTGTCTGATCCTGTCAAGATTACTGCCCCAGAAACCATCAGAAACAGCTTTCCCCTGTCCTGTAGGGTCACTGTGAGTCAGGAAGCTGGAGTCCAGGGACCACTGGATTGGACTGCACTATTTCTCAGGCCCAGGCAGCCTCTCAGGCTGGACCGCTAGAAAGGGGCTCCCTTGCCTTGGTGCCCTCAGCTGTCCCTGCTCACCCCACCCCACCCCACCAGCCATTTACCTGAGATCCAGGGCCAGTCCAGCGAGCAACTGGGAGAAGACCTTAAAGTTACCTTCCCCTTCAGGCCGCCTGGCCACTCGGCTCTTTTCCAAAAGCATTGTCTGTGGGGGAGAGAGAGGGGTTGGGACAGCACTTGGGTTATGAACTGTTGAGGAACATCTGCCCCAGGCCCGGTGACCAGCTATCCAGGAGGTCCCCTGAGGAGGTCCCAGCCCACCCACCCTTTTAGGCCACACTGCAGTCTAAACAATGGCTAGCAATCCTCGGCATGAAACCCTCTCCATTCTTCATCTCATGCATTCGGGGTTCCTCCAGGGGATCAACAAACACAAGAGACTCCTTGCAATCACAGTCTCAAATCCTGTCCTCTGCTCAGCTGTCTTCGAGCGGGGGCTGACTCCCAGTCCCCTCCAGTGCTGCTGATGTGGGTGCCATCCAGTCGGCTCCGACTCACAGTGTATGTTCCACAGAACATACACTGCCCGCTCCTGCACCCTCCTCACCATCGTGGTTAGGTTGAGCTCATTGGGGCAGCCACTGGGTCAAGCCAGCTGGTCGAAAGTCTTTTTCGTTGCTCTCTGACTTGACCAGAGACAGGTCTTTCTGGAGAACAGGTCCAAAGGAGCTGAGACCCAGGAAGTCTCACCGTTCCCGATGCTCAGGCGCATCCTGGCTGCCCCTCTTCCAGGCAGATCCAGTTGTTTCTTTGGCTGTCCCCGGTGCGTTCAGCGCTCTTCACCAGCACCATCATTCAATTGCACCAATTCTCCTTCGGGCTTCCTTATTCCATTATCAGCTGTCACAGGCAGGGGAGGTGACTGAAAATATCGTGGCGCTGAGTCCTCCAGTTGAAAGCCCTGCTCGTCAAGACTTTCAAGAGGTCTGTGCAGCAGAGTGACACGTGCAATGGGTCACCACGATCCCTTTATGGCTGCTCCCATAAGCATCGATTGTGGCTGCGAGCCAGATGAAACCCTTGGCGATGTCCATCTTTCCTCCATTTGCTAGGATGTGACCCACTGGTCCCGGGGTGAGGAAGACCGTTGTTGATTTCTATCATGCTAGCCCTGACTCGTGCAGTCCCATAGAATGCAGCAACACAAAATGTGGCCCAGCCCTGAACCTTCTTTGCAACGCTTGGCTTATTTGAGTGCCTTGCTGGGGCTACTGTGTCGATCCTGTCGTGGGAGGGGTTCCCTCTTTTGCACTGACCCTCTACTTTGTCAAAAGAGCCCTGGTGGTGTAGGGAGTTCCAAGTTTGGCTGCTAACAGCAAGCTCAGCAGTTCAAATGCACCGGTCAGCTCTGTGGGAGAAAGGTGAGGCTCTTTGCTCTGGTAAAGGGTGACAGTCTTAGGAACCTCCAGGGGCAGTTCGACCCTGTCCTGTAGGTCACTGTGAGTCAGCAGTGACGTGAGTGGTCGGGGTCTGTACCCACTCTTAGATATCTCTTCCCTGTCATACTGGGGGTAGGGGGGGCAGACAGGGAGGACATGTTCTGGGGAGTGGTTATCAAGAAGATCCATCAGGTCCCAGCACATTTCTGGGGCCCTAATGAGGGACATGGTCTGCATCCCTGAGGGCCCTGCCCCACCCAGGGACCTCACCTGGAGCTGCGCACCCGTGATACGGCCTGCGGCATTGAAGTCCAGCGACATCACCATGGCGAAACGGGTAGCACTGTGGCTGTGGCCCGTGGACACAGAGCCAAAAGCCTGGAGCACGGTGAAGGTGGCGCGGATCTTCTCCACTGCAGGAGGGACGGAGGGGGTATTCCTACAGCCCAGTGCTCCCATCCCCCACCACTCCCAGGACCACCAGCCTTCCCCAGGCCACGTCTCGAGACTTGAGACTGCTCGTCCATGTCGACTCAGCCTCTGTGGGCTACACACACACACATACACACACACACACCCAGAGCCCTGAGCAGGATGGTAATCCACGTGGCAGGAGTTGCACTGGGCTCTCCCAGGCATGGCGGAGCCTGGAAAGCCAAGGGCAGGAGGGTAGCACCCTCAGACCTGCCCTATAGTCCCAGCCTATAGCAGTGGGACTAAACAGCCCTGGGATCTCTCGACAACCATGCGTTGAGCACCTACTGTGTGCCGGGCCCTGTGCTGGCACCTGGATACAGCCTATTCTGAATTCCAACCTCACATACGCTTTCCCGGCACAACAGCATTCTGGAAAGGCAGGGATCAGAACACAGGCCAGGGTAGATGGGAGGTGATCAGAGGAATGAGTGGGCAGGCAGCCTAGCCTAGTGATCAGGCATCAGCCTCCAAACTCTTTGCTGACCCACTTAGTTTGGGGTATCCATCCTCATGTCTCAGATCGCCGTGTCTAAGAGGGACCCTTGTCACCAGGATTAAGAGCTTAAAAAATGTGAACCCACAGCTAAGGAGTCAAGTCCGACTTACAGTGACCCTCTAGGACAGAACAGAACTGCTCCCTGGGGATTCTGAGGCTGTCTGTCTTTACAGGAGCAGACGGCCTCCTCTTTCTCCTGGGGAGCAGCTGGCAGCCCAATGCTTAATCTACTGGGCCACCAGGGCTCCTTCCATTTCATCGGGTGGCATGTGGTGGTTATTATTGGTCTTTCTCTTACTATCTGAGCAGCCAGAGTGATTCAGTGGAGGAAGCCTGACTGCTGGAGGGGAGACGGTCTCTGGACAGAGAAAGCCCGTGCCCACATTCCCCATCAGCAGATGCACAGTATTACTGGGGGCATCACAACTTCCTGCTGGGAGGAAGATGAGGATGAAAGCTGCCTCCATGCCTCCTTAGTGCAAAAATAAAAATAAAACCATGGGTTCCATTCTGGGTAGATACCAAGAGCCCTGGTGGCCTAGTGGATTAAGCATTGGACTGCTAACTGTGTTGGATTGACACTAGGGTTGGGTACCAACCACATGTCCAGCAGTTCAAAACCACCAGCCATTCTATGGAAGAAAGACGAAGTTTCCTACTCCTGTCGAGAGCGACAGTCTCAGAAACCCACAGGTACAATCCTACCCTGGCCTATTGGGTTGCTCGGATTTTTCATCGACTCCATGGCAGTGAGTTTTTGGGTGACACTAGGGAGCAGAGTAGAAATCCCATGAGGTTTCTGAAGCTGTAAACCAGGGTTCCTCAAACTTTTTAAACAGGGGTCCAGTTCACTATCCCTCAGACCCATTGGAGGGCCAGACTATAGTTAAAAACAAAACAAAACAAACTATGAACAAATTCCTATGCACACTGCACATATCTTATTTTGAAGTAAAAAAAACAAATGGGGCAAAAACACCCAGTGGGCAGGATAAATGTTCTCAGCGGGCCACATGTGGACCCCTGTTTGAGGACCCCTGTTCTAAACCCTGATGAGCGCAGTCCTCCTAGTCCTCCTCTTGCGAAGTGGCTGGTGGTTCAAACTGCTGATTTTGCAGTCAGCAGTCCACTGCACCACCAGCCACTTACAAGGCTCCTCTTACAAGGCTCCTCAACCTCCCAGACCCATGGCCATCCAGTCAATGAACCCTGTAGGCCAGAGTAGAAGTGCTTTCTTTGAGTGTCTGAGACTTCAAACGTTTATGAGAGGAGACACTTAGCTTTCTCCTGAGACGTGGCAAGTGGATTCAAACAGCTGAACTTGGGGCTAACAGCCCAATATGTAACCCACTTTGGCAGCCACAGATCCTTACAACTCAACCAACCAACCAACCCACTGCCACCAAGTCAATTCTGACTCATAGCAACCCTATAGGTTTCTGAGACTTTGTAAATGCTTAGGGGAATTGAATCTCATCTTTCTTCTTCAGAGTAGCTGATGAGTTTGAACCACTGACCTTGCGGTTAGCAGTATAATGCTTACCAGACAACACCACCAGGAGTCCTCAACAATCCATTGCCATCAAGGCAATTCAGACTCATGGTGGTTTCTGACACTGTAAATTTTTACAGGAGCAGGCAGCCTCATCTTTCTCCCAAGGAGCAGCCAGGTTTGAACCACCCACCTTGTGGTTAGCTGTCCAACACTTAACACACTGTGCCACCAAGGATATTTTAAAAATCATAAACACTATCAGCTATAATGAAATCTAGTGTCGCCATGGGTTACTAACTACCAGGAAGGCAGTTAAATCCACCAGCTGCTCGAAGGGAGAAAGAAGAGGCTGTCTGCTCCCATAAAACCCTCTGTAGCAATTCTACTCTGTCCTAGAGGGTTGCTGTCGGTCAGAATCAACTCAATGGCAGGAACTAAATAAAAAAATTAATAATCACACAAGCTCCCAGGTGGCAACATGGGTTAGTCATTGGGCTGATAACAGAATCTTTGGTGATTCGAACCCACCAGTCACTCTGTGGGAGAAAGATAAGGGCTATCTCAAAGTCACTTCCTCAGGTCCCACGCCATGTCTCCACCTCTCCGCTCACCAGCCACAACCAGCATTTTCATAGAGGATTTGAGGTGAACATAGGTGGGTCACCTGTCTGACAGAAGCACCCTCCTACCTTTGCTTGCCGGGCCCTGTGTATGGCTCACCAAGTGGTGCACTACACAAGGAGCCAACAGTCACGTCATAGGATCCTAGGTTGGTAAGTATTGTAGTGCAGTTCACTGGTAGATGGCAGCCCAGTGCCTGGCTCTATACAACCTCCGTGTAGGATAGTGGCTCAGGGGACAGGGTAGATGGATGAGCACCAACAGGCCCGATGGAGTAGGAGCCCAGCCGGCAGCAGGTGCAGGGTCTGCCTGCACCTGTGGACATCAGGAGGGACAGATGGCACCACCACCTTCGCACCCTCCCCCACTACCTCCACACCGTGAGCCCTCAGATGTACCTGAGACTGTGTTGTCCACACTGCCTGCCAGCGCCGCCAGGTGCTCCAGGGTCTGCTGGCTGCATGCGGTCTTCCCGGCGCCACTCCGGCCCAAGGCCACAATGCTCTGGTCCCTCCGCTGGCTCAACAGTGACCAGTATGCCCGCTGGGCCAGGGAGCTGATGTGGGCAGGCAGACCATATCGGCGGCCCCTGGGCACCTACAGGAAGACCCAAACCTTCAGTCCTCTGACCCAGTTGGTGCCCAGAGAGCCCTAGGAGGCCCAGATCCAGACGACATGCCTCCCATCCTGCCACACACACTCACTGACCCACGCCATCCCCATCTCTGGGCCTGGATCTCCTCATCTCATCAGGAGGGGAGACACTTGAAATGGAGCTGCACTGGACCCAAGGGGAACCCATCCTACTCAAAGTGATTGGGAGTAACTGCCTAACAGGAACCTGTTGTAAGAATTGGCAGGATTGATTAGTGTTGTCTGCCACGGACACAAGGAACTAGGCAGAGGGGGTGGGGCCACATGTGCCACTCTATTTGCCGTAACCGACCCAGATGGGCTCTGAAGTCCTTCCCACCCCAGGTATTCATCCACCCATCCATCCATTCTTCCTTTAGTATATATTTGAAATCCTTTGAAGATCTGGATAGCAGACACGGCCTCAGGCATTGGGAATCTAAAATAAACAGATGGATGAAGGAAAGTCTTGCTCATCACCAGAGACTGTAATACACCTGTGGTGTTTGTGAGTGCCTTGAGTCAGTTCTCGCTCACAGGGACCCTGCATGTGATAGGAGACACTGCCCCACCCTTGGCCAGCCTCCTCCTCATGGCTATTTTGAGCCTGCTGTAAAATTCACTAACCATAAGTGTCTTTTACGCTTTATCTAGTGGTTACAATTTTGGAGGGTCAATGAGAACTCTCAGCTGTTATTGGTGGGGTCCTGGATACCACCCTCATTCTGGGAAAATGGCTTTGTCATTTCTTGTCAAGTCCGAAAGGATCCCTGGTGGCCTAGAGGGCTAAGTTTTGGGCTGCTCACCACAAAGTCAGGGGTTCAAAAACCCCAACCACTCCAGGGAGAAAGATGATGCTGTCTGCTTTCAAAGGGGGAACCAATTACAAGGATCTACATGTGACCTCCTCCCTGGGGGATGGACACCAGAAAAGTGGGTGAAGGGAGATGTCAGGGCAAGATATGACAAAATAATAATTTATAAATAATCAAGGGCTCATGAGGGAAGGGGGGAACGGGGAGGGAAGGGAAAAAATGAGGACCTGATGCCAGGGGCTTAAGTAGAGAGCAAATGTTTTGAGAATGATGAGGGCAATGCATGTACAAAAGTGCTTGACCCAATTGATGTATGTATGGATTGTGATAAGAGTTGTATGAGCCCCTAATAAAACAATTAAAAAAAAAGATTTACAATCTCAGAGACCCTTGGGGGCCATTGAACTCTGTTCTCTAGGCCCACTAGGAGTCAGAATGCCAGAGCAGTGTGTGTGTGTGTGTGTGTGTGTGTGTGTGTGTGTGTGTGTGGTGGTGGGGGTTGTCATGCTAAAACTATACTCATTATCCAGCCCAGCAATCCCATTCCTATGGGTTTACCCCAACTCAAAACTCACACTCACTGCCTTCAAGTTGATACCCACTCATAGCGTCTCTAGAGGACAGGGTAGACCTGTCCCTGTAGGTTTCCAAGACTGTGATCTTCTTTGCAGTAGAAATCCTATCTTTCCCCCTCGGAGCAGTGGGTGATTTCAAACTTCTGACTTTGTGGTTAACACACCCAACATAACCACTACACCACCAGGGCTCCTTTTTGAGAAATGAAAATGTGTACCCGCCCTCCAAACAAATAATCAACAAATAACCCTCTCCATGCTGGATTAAACCAGACCCCAATCTACAGCCATCCAGTCGATTTGAACTCCCAGGGAGCCTTGGTAGGCTTTCCAGGACCGCCCATCTTTATGGGAGCGGCCAGCCTCAGCTTTCTTCATTAGAGCAACTTGTAGGTTTGAACCGCCTACTTGGAGGTTAACAGCCCAACCATCACCTCACTCACAGTGCCACCAGGGCTCCTTCCATGCTTGGTTCTAGCAAATGTATTAAAAATCAGCCCCCAGAACTAGCCACAACCTGAAGGTCTTCTAGCTAGTGAACAGAGATCACTGACCACCCATCTGCAGGATGACTAGCCCCTCATCCCAGGGAAGCTCTGCTGACTGCTCACTGGGACAGCAAGCTCCTGCATCCACACCCTGAACCTGAGTGTAAACCACCAACGGGTCAGCTAGCAAATGATGAGATCGCTGCTGACTAATGTAAGAAGACCCTCGCACCCAGAGACCTCACATGGGTAGGGGACACTATGCCACAGGGTTCCAATGGCTAGTTGTTGTGGGGTTCTCCTGTTTTCCAGAAGGAGACTGCCAGGCTTTCTTGAGAGGCACCTCCGAGTGGAATCAAACCCCCATCTTGTATGTGGGCAGCTGCGGGCACGAACCCTTGGGCTCTGTTTCACACTGGGCAGGTGCCCGTCCAAAATCTTTTTGGAAAAGGCAAGGTGAAGGAACAGAAAACAAGTTGCAAGGAGCATAGTTGGAGTGGGGGGTTTTCTGGGGTGGGGGGGTCCTCTGGGGGCTGATCTGACATCTGGATGAAGATGAGGGTGTGTTGACACTGTAAAATGTAACACTTAGCACGGGATCTCCATTCGAACCCATTTTGAAGCTGTTCTAGTTTTTCCTATTTCCTGCTTACTTTTCTATTGGGGTTTTCCTCCGCTTTATTTAGTAGTTGTTGTCTTGGTTTTGGGCGTTTTTTCGGTATGTGAGATCCAGGATGGGTGAATCTACAATAACTGGACTAATGTTTCTTTAGGGGGACAGCTGAGGGGAGATGGGGAGCTAATAACAAAGAGCATGAGAAAGACAATGTTCTAAAATTGACTGTGGTGATGATTGGACAACTCTTCTTGGTAGGATTGAATTATTTGAATTGTATGATCTGTGGACTGTATCCCAATAAAACTTTAAAAATGCATAAGTAAAACAAAGAGGGGGAAGGAAAGAAAAAAAGGAAGGAAGGAGGGGAAGAAGCTGGCTATAGCTACACTTTCATATCTTGGGAGGTGGGGGTGGGGAAGATTACCTCGAGGCATCTGGCTGGCCCTGAACCCCTGAGTGCCGCTGGCCTTCTTGAGAAGAGGCAGTGGATACAGAAATCCAATCATTCCCCGAGAGCCAGGCTGCCTAAGGAAGTCGGTGTTGACCACGAAGGGGAGACGTGTGGGGACCAGGGCACCCTGACTTGAAGAGGTCAGGGAGACCCCAGGCAGCGAAGCAGACTACAGAGAAAAACCAGCACAGCGGCGTCTGGGCGTCCAGGACAGGAGTGGCAGCCGCATGCTGCTGAGCGTTGAGGATGAGAACTGAGTCTGGGCTGGGCAGCCTGGCTTTCACAGACAGAGGGTCCGGAAGATGGGGAGGCCAGCCAGCCAGCCAGCAGGGGATAGGCAGCAGCCAGAGGATGTAGCCTTGAGTTCTGAATGCCTAAGGGGTATCCCCATAGGCCCAGTAAGGCACCATCTTCTGTCCTCTAGGACCTTGGGAGAATCAGGCCCCATGGACGAAGCCCAGCCCTGCACTTTGACATCATCAAGTCCGGCTCGCAGGAACAGGCCCACAACTGCTGGCCACAGTCCTAAGGGGTGAGGGCCACTTCCAACACTGAGAAGTACGTATATCAAGGGACCAGTCATGGACCCACTAGAAGCCATCTGTGTGTTCCCAGATGCACACATGTATACTGGCCCTTACAAGCACATATTCTTAGCACACGCACCCAGGCACCTGCCGGTGTGCCCACCCACACCCTGTGAGGGCCCGCAGGGCCCCAGGCACACACCCAGCTTCCAGGCACCTTGGCAATCCAGTTTCCGTTCCAACAGCGCTGCCCAAGTCCCCGCCTCAGCCACCATGGCTCGATGCTCCCACCTCATGGCCACAGGGGGAAGGAGCCATGACTCGGAATAGGATTTGGTTGGGGGTGTAGGAGGCTGGAGAAACCAGGGGAAAGATGAGGGACTGGGACCGGGGTGGAGACAGTGTCACCACCATCCCAGCCCAGGTTGATGGAAGGACTTTCTTGGGCAGGGGTCACTGGTTCAACCTGACAGGTGGGCTCTAGGCCTGTTCTTCATGACACGTGGGCCGAGGTTCAAAAAGGGGTGTTTCAATCAGGATGGGCAGCTCTCAGGCGGTATGCCAGGGGGGCTGTAGAAGTACCCACCCACAGGGGCACCTGAGCAGCCAAACGTATCACCCCCTTCCCAAGGGCCTTCATGGGGCAGAAGCATGTGCTGAATGCAACAAGATGGCCAGCTGTCCCCTACCCAGAGCTCCTGAGGCGCTCTGAGCCACTGACGGTGACACCCAGGCTGTGCACAGATGGCTGAGACACAAAGACCCTGCCACTCCACCCCCCACATAAAAGGCTTAGCTTTGGGTGGGAGCCACTGGGCTCTGGGCTGTAGGACTAAGCTTTTCATTTCCAATTGCAAGAAGAGAAAACTGAGGCCAGGGGGCGGGGGGAGCATTCAGGTTTGTCCACAGCTCCACAGCCCACTAGACGGTATTCTAGAAGGGGCAGGACCTGTCCCCAGCACATCCCAAGCCCACAGATACAACCTCTCACCTCCAGCCAGGCTCCCCGCTTCTGTGGCCTCTCCCTGCCCAGTGGGACCCTTTCATCCCAGCACTTGCTGCCTGCATAGCTCTGCTGGGAAGCGATGGGAATTGCCATCAGGCTCAGCATGAAAGCCAGACTCTCAGTCACCAATACACAGGATTCTGCCCAGCTTCTTGGGACCTCCTGGCTCCTTTCTGCCTTGCCTGCCTCAGGGCCTTTGCATGGGCTGTTCCCTGTCCTAGAAAAAGCCATTCCCCAAGCCAGCCCTTCGGCTTGCTCCCTCAGCTCCTTCAAGTCTTATGTTAAATGCCACCTTTCCCTTCCTGTGAAATCTCCCCTCTCCATCCTGACCTCTCCCACCATCAAACTGACTGCCATCCAGTCAATGCCAACTCATGGCGACCCTGAAGGGTAGGGTAGAACTGCCCCTGTGGGTTTCTGAGGCTGGAGCTCTTGATAAAGCCTCATCTTTCTCCTATGTGGTAGCTAGATGGTGATTTTGAACCGCTGACCATGCAGTTAGCAGCCCAATGTGTAACCATGATGGCACCAGGGCTCCTTCCCCACCAGCAGCTAGGATCTAACAAAAACATCTTCTAACTCTGTTAGCTTTTCGTCACACCAAGCACTTCAGGTATCCACTGTGTGTATCACTCCTGGCCTGGCTTGCCCCCCAGAATGGAAGCTGCATAAGGCCAGGACTGTTTGCCTGACTAGCACCCTGACCTGTAACGGATGTCCACCAATCTCTGCTAAATGAATGGATGGAACGCACTGCCATCAAGACATCTCGCCTCACAGTGACACTACAGGACCAAGGACAACTCTCAAGACTGTCCATCTTTACGGGAGCAGACGTGCCCCTCTTTCTCCTGCAGAGCAGCTGATGGGTTTGAACCACCAACTGTGTGGTGACCAGCTCAATACTTAATCCGGTGTGCCACCAGAATCCCTGGGAAAGAACCCCCCGCCCCCGAGTTTCCTTTCTGCACATGGGCTTAGCCCTCTGTCCCTTGTATGGCCAGAGGGTCCTGGAACATGGGGTGGACAGCCTGGGGGTAGGAGTATACTGAGGATCATGTTTTCCCACTCCCCCCTAGGGAGAGAGCTAATTCCCAGGTCAAGGCAGATGGTGGCGGGCCTGGTTCCCACAAATAGGAGGCCTGGTAACATCGTGGTTACGGTTTGGACTACTAACTGAAAGGTCAGCAGTTCGAAATTACCAGCCACTCCTTGACAGAGAGATGGGGCTGTCTACTTCTGTAAAGAGTTAGTCTCGACAGACAACCGAAAAGTGGGTGAAGGGAGACGTCGGACAGGGCAAGATATGACAAAATACCAATTTATAAACTATCAAGGGCTCATGAGGGAGGGGGGAGCGGGGAGGGAGGGGAAAATGAGGACCTAATGTCGGGGGTTTAAGTGGAGAGAAAATGTTTTGAGAAACGATGTACAAATGCGCTTTACACAATTGATGTGTGTATGGATTGGGATAACAGTTGTATGAGCCCCTAATAAAATGTTAAAAAATAAAATAAAATGTGAAAATATGAAGAAAAAAAAGAATGTGAAAAAAAAAGAAAAAAAGAGTTAGTCTCAGAAACCCACAGCGGTAATTCTACCCTGCTCTATAGGATTGCCATGAGTCAGAATTGACTCGATGGCAGTAAACTGGGGGAGGGGAGGGATTGGGGGGATGCAATAGATGGCACACTGGGCTGCTAACAGCAAGGTCAGTAGTTTAAACTCCCCAGCCACTCTATGGGAAGAAGATGAGGACGCCTACCCCTGTAAAGACTGACAGGCTCAGAGATCCGATAGAGGGCCACTCTGAGGCCGAACAGACTCAGTGCGGGGTTTAGGTTGGTTTGGCTTCCAGGAGGCGGCCAGCAGTGTCCCCACCCGGACCCCTTGGTTGGACACTTTTTGCTGTTTGATTTCCTATTTACATTTCTAATCCCAGAAGAAGCGTGGGATCCACCCACCTAGCCCCCGCTGTGGAGTCAAGTCCATTCTGACTCGCGGCAGCCCTGTAGGCTGGGGTAGAACTGCCCCTGAGGGCCTCTGTGCCTGTCCACCTTTACGGAGCAGACAGCCTCATCTGACTTACGGGGCGGAGCAAACAGCCTCATCTTTCTCACGGGGCGGAGCAAACAGCCTCATCTTCCTCACGGGGCGGAGCAGACAGCCTCATCTTCCTCACGGGGGCGCAGCTGGGGGATTTGAACTGTGTGGTAGTGGATGAGTGCTCAACCCACTGTACTACTAACCAAAACCCACTGCCATTGAGTCCCACTGCTCATAGTGACCTGAGAAAATAGGACAGTGAGGCACCCTGGTGGTGTAGTGGTTATGCGCCCGACTGCTAACCACAAGGTCAGTGATATGGAACCACCAGCCACCCCCTCACAGGGGCCATACCACCCTGCCCTATAGCATCACTATGAGTCAGTATCGACTGACTCCATGGCAGTGAGTTCTTGACTTTTAAAAACTGCTTTCGGGGGTTTCCGAAGTTGTCATTCTTTATGGAAGCAGACAGCCTCATCTTTCTCCCAAGGAGAAGCTGGTGGATTTGAACCTCCAAACTTTGGGTGAGCAGCCCAGCGCTTGGCTCACCGCAGCACCCAAGCACCGTACATGGAAGGGGATCCGGTAGAAATTATGTCCAGATTTGTCCACAAGAGGGCGCTTTGAAATCACCTTTGGTTTTACGTAAAAGCTGTTTCTTCACCCTTCACAAGATACCAAGGGCTCAAGTAGAAAGCAAATGTTCTGAGAATGATGAGGGCAACAAATGTACAGATGTGCTTGACACACAATGGATGGATGGATGGATTGGGATAAGAGTTGTACGAACCCCCAATAAAATTATTTTTTTAAAAACCAAGAGAAAAGCAACCTATTGGCCAAGACAGTAGCTTCTGTTTCCTAATATATGAGCATCCAGGAGGGCGCTGAGAGGGCACAGGGGTTCAGGAGGCTGTGTTGGGCCCAAGCCGCTCTCTGAGCAAATCTTGAGACGTCGCCAGGTCAGGCCCGCGGGCTGAAGTCACTCCTGTCATTTGGGATGGCTGTGACAATTGATGTAGTCAGCGCCTGATGATGCTCAAGGCAGTATCTGTTGTCGTCTCATGCCTCCAAGTGAGTGCCAACTCCGAGTCAGCCCCAGTGTGACAGAGCAGAACTGCTGCATAGGATTTGCGTGGTGACAGAAGTCAGGGTTGACTGAACAGACATGGGTTTGAGGAATCCTGGTGACAAAGTGTTTGGTTACGTGTTGGGTTGTGTCCCCGTTCACACTCACCAGCCCCTTGGTGGGAGAATGATGAGGTGGTAGACTTCTGTGATGATGCCGAAAACTGATGCCCACAGTCACCGAGTGGATAATATGATACAAAAGCCCAAACTCACGGCCATCGAGTCGATGGTGCCTCAGAGAGGACAGGGTAGAACTGGCCCTGTGAGTTTCTGAGCCTGTAACTCGTTACCAGAGTAGAAAGACCAGTCTTTCTCCCGCAGAGCGCCTGGTGGCTTTAAACTGCTCACCTTGACGATCACAGCCCAACTCGTAACCACTATGTCACCAGGGCTCCAGGAGTGACACTACAGATAAGGTAGAACTCGTTATGTGAGTCGAAGGCCACGTTTTTCTTTTGTGGAGCAGCTTGTGGATTTGAACCACAATCCCTGTGGTTAGCAACCCAACCCTAAGCCCACAAAGCCCACAGCGCCCCTAGAATTCCTTCCTGGTTCAATTCTCAAAAACCACCACCACAGAATCAATTATGACTCAGAGCGACTCCATGGGAGAGTAGAATTGCCCCCTTTTGAGTTTCTGATTTGAAATCTTTACAGGAGTAGAAAGCCTTGTCCTTCTCCCAAGGATCAGCTGGTGGGTTTGAACCCCTGACCTTGGTTTTAGCAGCCCAAATACACCATCAGGCTGCCTCTGGTACAATGAATGTTTTCTCTTGTTTTGTGATCTTTGTGCTCCTATTGTTATTTCTCAGTTACTCGTCTTTCCCTGGGGAGCAGGGGGGCCTGTGACCCTTAAGGCCCAACAGCATCCCAGGTCACCCCCAGAATCGCATCTCTGGTGAATGCTGACCAGGAAGGTTGTTTTCTCTTAGCAAAGATATGCAGGCTCCCTGGTCATCCCGGCCCCCCTCCCAGCCCCATGAGCCCAGTCCCCTCACCTTCCCTGCAGATGGTGCTGCAGGCTCCGGGGGCTGGAGGACGACCAGGTCAGGCCCTGTGCAGGTGTATGGCAGCTGGCTTCGGCTGCGCTGCAGAAGTGTGTTCAAGACACTGGACTCGTTCACGCTGCTGAGAGAGGCCAGGTCCTCCACCTGGTCCAGCTCAGGAGGGTTGGCCTGTGGGCCAACACACAGTGACTCAGCTGACCTCCTGGATCCTCGCCACACTGCCACCCATAATCCACACACCTACACACACACACACATGCACATGCACACACGCACATGCATATATACACACATACACATACACACATGCATACATGTGCATACATGCAGATATGCCCTCACATACATACAGAGACGCATGCACACATACATGTGCTGCACACACAGGCACATACATGTATAGACATGCAAGCACAAACACACAGCTTGGAGACTTTGCCCCTGGAGAGCCTCAGGTAAACATGACACCAAACATGGGTTCTGGGAGGAGGGGCTGGCTGTGTCCCAAACCAAATCCAAACCCACTGCCATCAATTTGATGCCAACTCAATAGCGACCCCAGAGGACAGGGTAGAACTGCCCCTGTGAGTTTTTCCAAGGCCAGAGCTCTTCATGGGAGCAGAAAGCCTCATCTTTCAGCCCATCTTTCTCCAGGAGGGGTGCGAGGAAACCTACAGGGAATAGAGGTCAGTAGCCAAAGCAGCCCCTTTCTCTCAGAGTGCCCCTCCTGTAGAAAGTTGCCCCAGCCCTCTCAGGTAGAGGGGTGTTGGCGGCATCTCCTTAGGATCCTTGCTCTAGAACAAAGGTCCCCAAAGACTTTGGCCTACCATTCCATTTTCAGAAAAAAAAAAAAAAAGACTCAATGTCCCCTGGCAATGACAACCTTGAACAGCACATGTCCAGGGTCAAGTGGAGCATCTATTTGCAGCTTGTTTCAGCAGTACCCACCAGGGGACAGGATTGCCCACTTTAGAAAACACTGTCCCGGAGATCTCCTACTGGTCTACCCAACTCTAGCAAGTTTTTTAGAACGCAAGATTTGATAAAGAGCCTTGTGGGCACAGTGGTTATGAGTTGGACTGCTAACTGCAAGGTCAGCAGTTCAAAACCACCAGCTACTCCATGGAGCAAAATAGGGATTTCTACTCTGTAAAGAGTTACAGTCTTGGAAACCCAGGGGGGCAATTCTTCCCTGTCCTTCAAAGTCACTTTAAGTCAGAATCCATTCGACGACAATGCATAGGTCTGAAGTAGCCCGAGTTCCAGTCTTTCTTCCAAAGGGCAGTAAAGAGCAAAAGCAAACACCAAATCTACTGCCATTGAGGAGATTTAGACTCACGGGGACCCTGCAGGGCAGGGGTGCACTGCTCACACAGCTTCTGAAGCGGTGAGGCTGTCTCCTGCAGAGCAGGTGATGGGTTTGAAACTTGGACCTTGTGGTTAGCAGCCCAGTGATGGGTCCACAATGCCACATGTCCCTCACCAAGAGAACTCAAAAAATCAAACTGTGCCATCGCGTCAATTCTGACACGCCGCCACTCCGTAGGACAGCACAGAACTGCCCCTGTGGGTTTATGAGACTGTCACTCTTTGCAGTAGAAAGACTTCTTTCTTCCGAGGAGCTACTAGTGGTTTTGAACTCCCCACCTTGTGGTCCGCAGCCCAACACCTAACACTCAACAGCAGTGAGAGGAAAGGGTCTGGGGAGGATCAGGGCGGGACACAGGCAGACCACACGCAGCTCCCAAGTCCAAACAAAAGGGGTTGGTGCTCTACCAATATACACAAGACAATTAAAAAAGAAAATAGCCATCAAAGAAAGGCTGGTGTCCAAACTACAGACCACCAGGGCCCATGCTGTGGTGAGTGGCAAGCAAGAAATGTGGCTCTGAGTCCCTGGAAGCCACGGTGGAAGGGGAAACATGCTCTGTGACATGGGTGGCAAGGCCCATAAGTGGCAAAGCAATCCATCTCTTGGGTAACCAGGAGACCTGCCAGTATCCAGACCTGATGGACATGTCTCTCGATGTAATATCAGACCAGGGGGGACACCATGGGACTATGTGAGTGGCACCCTCCCCCAACAAGATCCCTCCAACAGAGCAATGAGTCCCCTCACTGCCATCAGTCAATTCTGACTCATAACGACCCTATAGGACAGGGTAGAAGTATCCATGTGGGTTTCCAAGACTGTAACTCTTCACAGGACTAGAAAGCTTCATCCTTCTTCCTCCAAGAAGTTGGTGGTTTCAAACTGCTGACCTTGAGGTTAGCAGCCCAACACATAACCCACTATGCCATCAGGGCTCCTCATGAAGTCCAAAGGAGCTGGGTAACTCCCTGCAAGGCATCAAGCTGAAGAGTGTCTGTTGGCAGGTCTCAGGGGGTCCCTTGCAGGGGTGGGGAGAGGAGATTGTGGAGCCAGGAAGGGAGCAGACAGAGGAGGGGGGCTTACCCGGTGCACATGATCCTCATCCACTTCGATGATGGCTTTGTCCGCATCTACACAAAGTCTCACCCTTCCTGGGGGCAGGTCAGCTGTCCCCTCGTCTGGTTTCAGGACGGTTGCTGGAGAGCATCCCAGAGAGAGAAATAAAGAGGGGAGGTGGACAGTGACTCTGAGCAGCCGGATGAGGCCAGGAGGCTGGGAAGGAGACATCCTTTCCTCGGGAAGAATTGTCACTTGTGACCTGAGGTCCCTTAAGGGTAGGCCTGAAGAATCACAGGAATCCTGCATGGTTCCAGGGGGTGTCTAGTCCTGGGAAGGTGGAGTAGGGCAAGCAGGCTGCCTGCTCCCCTCCAGCACGCATGACAGACATCACTAATGTATAGCTCCGTCCAGAACTCAGGATGGTTGCTAGGGGAGCCGCCATCAGACCCAGCTAATCCACAGCAGTGGATGTGAAATGACATCCCTCTACTTCTGCCTGCTGGCATGAGGCTTTGGGGGTTCCTGGACAGGCTGGGCATGATGCTGTTCATTAACACACCTTCATTCTTTACTCAAGGTTCCAGTGCCTGTGGTCAAATGACCATCAAGTCTCACCACCCCCCAAAAAGTCTCAGAGCCCCATCCTAGGTCCCTGCAGCTCATCACCATATACCCACCACCCCCTCCTCACCAGCACCACCCAAAATATAATACCAACCCACACCAAACCCGCTGCCATTGGGTCAATTCCAACCAAAGGACTGAGTAGAATTGCCCCCTTGGGTTTCTGAGATTGTCAGTCTTCACAAGAACTGACAACCTCATCTTTCTCCTGAGGAGCAGCTGGTAGATTTGAACAGTTGACCATTCGGTTAACAGTGCAATTTGTAAGCCACACCACCACCAATGCTCCTTACAAGTGTGACCCAGATCGGGCAAACATGGCAGCCATGGGAGTGGGGGTGGTTTGGAAGTAGCAGGGCTGAGATGCCCAACTCACCAAGGGTAAATCCAGCCTTCTGAACCAGCCAGACTTTCTCGGCCTCATACCATCTATCCGCAAGAACCTGGGAACAAAGGTCATACCTTAAACTGCAGAATGGCACCCTCATGGGTCAGGGGAACCACCCCCATACCAGGATTTCTCTACCAATGAGTAGTTTCTGACTCTTAGCGACCTTATAGGGCAGGGTAGACCTGTTCCTCTGAGTTTCTGAGACTAACTTTTTATAGGAGTAGAAAGCCTTGTCTTTCTCCAGCGGAGCATGGGTATGAACTGCTCACCCTGTGGCTATCAGCCCAACTCATAACCAGTACACTGCCAGGGCATTTGTGAATTTGTGAATAATGTTTTGGGGACCTTCACCTGCTCTGTGGAGAACCCCCACCCCAAGAACAGAAACAGTGGGCGCTTCAAGCCCCCTACTTATCCGGGGACCTGTTGTTCCCTCCTCTGGAACTTCCCTCTCCAGCCCCAAGGTGGGCCCTTTCTGAGCTCCATCTCAGATAGTCCCGGGGCTCTGCTCCTCCCACACCTGGGGCTGTAGCTCACTCACCTGATCGGAGTCACCGCTGTGGCCTCCTGGATCCCCCTCCTGCAGGGCCGGCCTCTCCTGATTCTCCGGCGTCTGGGGCTGATCCACCGGGGCCTCCAGAGCAGATCCCAGGCCTTGCAGCTCCACCTCCAAGACCTTGGCCATGGCATCTGCTCTTGGGTCAGGCCCCTCCCCCTTCTGCCCTCTGTTTGTTGGCAAGTCCTCCCTTCTGTCTGCCACTGTGGATGCTGCCCTTGTAACCCCCTGCTCAGGGGCAGCACAGGCCACGTCCGACTTTCCCTGAGGGCCACCCACCTCCCCAGGCTGACTCTGCGGTTGTCCTACCTCCTCCACCTTCGTCTGAGCCTCACCCATCTTTTCTGTCACCATCAGGGGTGCCCCTCCATCCCCTGGAGCTTTCTCCATCTTCTCTGTCTTGAGGTGGGGCTCACCTGCCTTCTCCTCCTTCCTCGGAAGTTCACCTTCATTGTCCTTCTTACTCTGGGGGTCATTCCACTTGGCCTTTCTGCCCAGGGAGCCCCCCCATTTCCTCACCTGGCTGTGAGGCCCAGCTTGCTGGCCTTCACCCACTGCATTCTTTGAGGGACCGCCATTCTCCATCTTGTTTGGGGGGGCCTCTGTCTCCTTCTCTTCTGCCCCTGACTGTCCTCCCTCACCAGGCCCTGGGACTTGGGGCTTGGGACCTTGAGCCTCCTTCTCCTTGGCCTTACCCACTTTAAGTCCTATGGTCTGGGCAGGGTCAGCCCCTGACCTCACTGAGCCCTCACCCAGCTGTTCTTTGGGCAAGGACACACTTCTGTGCGCTGAGCCCCCATGGTTCCCCGCCAGGGTCTTCTCAGCCTTCAGGGTTGGCTTCTCTCTGCTGGCCTTGGGGCCCCTGGAATATCCTGGGGCTAATCCTTCCTTTCCGCCCCCAGGGTCTTTGGCTTGGGGCAAGGTCTTTGAAGTGGGGGGATCCTGAGGGTGGGTCTTCTGCTCCGCCTTGGCCAAGTCAGGGTCCAGCTTGGCTACCATCAATAGCACGTCACCCCTCCTCACACCCCTCTTCAAGGGCAGGGTTCTTTTGGTGGGGTTCTCACTGGGGCCAGACTCTTGGGGCTTCTCACCATTGATGCTGGCCATCAGCAGGGGTCCCGTGCCACTGGCCCCCTGGCTCTCCTTACTGGGAATGTTGGAGTCCTGGAGAGAGCTTGGCTGGGTGACCTGGGGACCCTGTTGGCTTCCAGATTTGGTGACACTGTCAGACTTGCTGTTGGGTTGGCTGTTGGGAAGTTCTATGGTCTAGGAGAAAAAGACCATGATCATGTTTCACTGCTTGTTAACTTCACTGCGTCATCGTTCACTCTCTCGGTCATCCATCCATCCATCCGTCCACCCTCCCGCCCACCCACCACCTACCCACCCATCCGTTCATCCAAAAATCTTCAAGCATTTCCAAGATGTTGATAGTCAAGGTGCCAGCCAGTGGCGCTCCTGGATGGTGCAAACAGTTAAGCACTAGACCACTAACCAAAAAGCTGGCAATTCAACTCCATTCAGAGATGCTGCGGGAGAAATGTCTGATGATCTACCCCCCCTTAAAATATATATCATCAACCACTGAACCCCCTATGAAGTGTAGTACCACTCTAATACACGCAAGGTCACCATAAATCAAAATTCAACCGATGGCAGTTCATTTGTAACTAGGAGTCCTGGTAACATGGTGGGCTACACCTTGGTCAACTGTTTGAAGCCACCAGCTGTCTCACATGAGAAAGTTGAGGCTTTCTACTCCCATAAAGAAATACCACCTCAGAAACCCACAGGGCAGTTATTCCTTGTCCTGTAGGGTCGCTGTGAGTTGGCATCGAGTCGATGACAGTGAGTTTGTATATTTTTGTTGTTTCTCTTAGTTTTTAACTGCTACAAGGCCACACTCTGGACTTTAGCCCAGCGCCTCCATGCACATGTGCCGGAGCGGAAAGAGAGTGAATGGCAGGGGGCTGGACAGCCCCAAGTCCCACTCCGGACTCTACCACTCACTCACTGTGTGGCCTGAGATAAATTACTCCCCTTCTCTGAGATTGTCTCCTCATCAGTAAAATGAGGATTTGAAAGGCCTACTTTGTAGGATGGTGAGACTTTGTCTTTGGACATGTTTTCAGGAGGGACTAGTCCCTGGAAAAAGGCAGCAAACTTGGTCCAGTAGAAGGTCAGCAAAAGATGACCCTCAAGGAGATAGATTGACACCGCAGCGGCAACAGTGGATTCAGACATTATCAGGACCATGAGGCTGGCGCAGAGCCAGGCAATGTGTTCTTCTGCTGTAAAAAGGATCTCAGTGAGTCAGAGCGGACTCAATACCAGTATCAACTTCAACAGCTTCGTAGGGTGGATGGAAGGCTTTATGATAACATACATAGATAACATAGGTGAGTGAGTGCTTCCAGGGCCTTATCAGCTTGTTGAAACATTTCCACTGCTCTTCCACCAATTCCTAGAGCCTTGTTTTTGGCTAATACTTTCAGTGTAGCTTGAACTTCTTCAGCACCATTGGCTCTTGACCACGTGTTACCTCTTGAAATGGTAGAATGTTGACTAGTTCTTTTTGGTACAGTGACTGTGTATTCTTTCCATCTTCTTTTGATGCTTCCTGTATCATTCACTATTTTACCCATAGAATCTTTCAATACTGCAACTTGAGACTTGAATTTTTTCTTGAGTTCTTTCAGTTTCAGTTATTCTTAGTATGTTCTTCCTGTTTGGTTTTCTAACTCTAGGTCTTTGCACATTTCTTTATATTTCTCTTTATCTTCTTGAGCTGTCCTTTGAAAGTTTCTGTTAAGCTATTTGACTTCATCATTTCTTCCACTTGCCTTAGCTACTCGACAGTTGAAGCAGGCTGACCACAGAGACTGCATTTGTCATATGCTTGCTTAAGTCCTTGATAGATGATAGATGAGTTTTTGCCTTTATAAACTCACTGAGATGTCTACTCAGGACTGCAGTCAAAATAATTGCATTTAGATTCTAGCAGTCCAGTTATAACTGAATAAAGACTTCTAAAATTCCAAGATATTATAGTGGCTATTATTTATTTGAACCCACAACACAATTAAAAGCAAGCTTCAGAGTCTCTTCTGACACCCACTTTGACCTTTCCTTTTTTTCCTGTCTTTTCCATGACCTCTTCCTTTCTTTATAAATGATGTTCTTGATGTCCGCCCACAGCTCATTGGGTCTTCTATCATTCTAGTTCAATACGTCAAATCTGTCCTTGGGGTGTTCTCAAAGTTCAAGGGCGATAGACTCAGGGTGTATTCGGGCTCTCCTGGACTTGTTTTCATTCTCTTCAGCTTCAGCCTGAACTTACATATGAGCAATCGGTGGTCTATTCAACAGTCAGCCCCTGGTCTCATTTTACCTGCTGACATTGAATTTCCCCATCATCTCTTCCCACAGATGTAGTCAATTTGATTTCTGTGTATTCCATCAAGAGAAATACATGTGTATAGTTGCCATTTGTATTGTTGAAGAAAAAGGGTATTTGCTATGAATAAGTCATTGGCCTTGCAAAATTCTATCATGCAAGCAATCTCCAGCTTCATTTCTATCACCAAGACCATATCTCCCAACGATTGTTCCTTCCTCTTTGTTTCCAACTTTTGCATTCCCATTGCCAATAATCATCAAGGCATCTGGATTGCATTTTTGGTCAGTTTCAGAATGAAGACGTTGGTTTCACCACTTATTCACTGTCGTCAAGTGGATGCCAACGCACAGCAATCCTACAATACGGGCTAGAACTTCCCTGCGAGTTTCCAAGACTGTCACTCTTTACAGGAGCAGCAAACCCTATCTTGCTCCTGGTGGTTTTTGAACCACTGACCTTGGCAGTGAGCTGCCCAACACATAACCATGACATCGCCAGGGCTCCGCTAAGACGTTGGTGGAATTCTTCAGCGTCTTCATCACTAGCTTTAGTAGCTGGTGCATAAATTTGAATGAGAGATGTATTGATTGGATTTACTTGAAGGTGGATAGATATAACCCTATCACAGAGAGCACTGTACTTCAAGAGAAATCTTGAAGTGTCCTTTTTGATAATAAATGCAACCACCTTCCTTTTGAGTGTATCATTCCCAGTATAGTAAACCATATGATTCTCTCATTCGAAATGACCCAAACCAGTCCAGTTCAGCTCATCAATACCTAGAATATCAATCTTTATGTCTTCCATTTAATTTTTGACAACTTCTCATTTTCCTAGATCCATACTTCCTATTGTTAGTAGAATTTTGCTGCTGTTTCTTCTCGTTTTGAATTGTGCCTCATCAGCAAAGGAAGGCCCCAAATGCTTTACTCCCCAAAGCTTTACAGCGCATCAATATGGTCCAATCTACGTTGAAACAGCCGCTCTTCCGCAGTCAGAGTGTCTTCTGATGGGAAGGGCTCGTCTTCTGGCACGGTCTCTGACGATGGACGGCTTCTACTCGCTAGGCATTCAGTGTGTGGCAGCGTTTCGGTCTGTGCGTAAGGTTGTCAGGACTACTTCCTCTGAAGGGGACAGCCTACTCCTTCTTTGGAGTCAGTTCTTGGTCTGGAAGCTCGGCTGAAACCTGATCACTTTGGGTGACCCTGCTGGTATTTGAAACACAGTAACATAGCTTCCAGCATCACAGCAACACACAAATCACCACGCTACGACAAACAGACGAAATCGGAGGTCGGTATCCTTAAAAAACAAGTCTCCGTCAAACCACTGCATAGAACAGGGTAGAACTGTCCCAAGAGTTATCATCTTGGAAACTCTTTCCAGAAGTAGAGACTGGCATCCTTCTCCTGTTGAGTGGCTGATTTTGAACTGCTGACCTTGTAGTTAACAGCCCAGCCCATAACTCCTAAGCCACCAGTGCTCCTGGTTGTTGTTGTTAGGTGCCAATAAGTTAGTTCTGACTCATAGGACCCGAACAGCAACTGAACAAAACACCCCCTGGCCCTGCACCATCCTCACAATTGTCGTCATGCTTGGTGGCATTGTCGTAGCCACCGGGTCAGTCCTTTACTTGATCTGCTTCAGCCCTTTCGGAGTTGCTCACTAGAATCTCCTGGAGAAAAATTTCCCATTGTGTTTTAAGCACGGGTGCTTGGGTTCACTTCCCAGGGGGTTGGTTAGAAATAGTCTGGGTTGTGACCCCCCAGTGACCACAGGGATGCCACACTGCTGGCTACAGTCACTCTTTTCGCCTCCATGGCAAGCGGCTCAGTCTAACCTGCCTGGTCCAGGCAGGACATCGTCTTGGAAGGGGGCCATATACTTGGCACGTCTCACCACCACCTACACCATCATGGCAGTGAATTAGGCCTTGTTTTTAACCAACCATCATGCAGGAGCCGAAACAATATCACTCAAACCAAGTCGATTGCCACCAAGTCTATTCTGACTCACAGTGACCCTGTAGGACAGAGCAGAGCCTCTTCCTAGGGTTTCCATGGCTATCAATCTTGACAGGAGCAGGCGACCCCATTTTTCTCCAGAGGAGTAGCAGGTGGATTTGAACTGTGGACCTTGTGTTTAGCAGCTTCACACTTATCCCATTGGATCACCAAATCCAAACCCACTGTCAATGAGTCAATTCTGATTGAATGGCATTTTAGGTCAGACTGTAAGAGCCCCTTAGGGTTTCTGGGGCTGTAAACCTTCACAGAAGTCTGTGGAATCCTTTTTCTGTGTAGTGAATTTGAACTGACAACCCTACAGTTCGCAGTCCAATGCTTAACTCCTGGTGCCACCAGGAGTCCAAAACTAGACCAGTGGCAAGTCCATTCCTACACACAGCAACCCTGGAGGGCAGAGAAGTGCCCCACAGGGTTTCTGAGGCTGTCAATCTTTACAGGAACAGACAGCCTCGTTGTTTGGTGGACTGACTGGTGGATTTGAATCACTGGCTTAATGTGCTCCATAACCAACACCAGCCCCCTCTCAATTCCCCTCTGTTGGATTTTCAGTCACCAGTGTCCTTTTCCCTCTGTGCCCATCTTAGCATATGGGAAAGGAAACACCTTCAGACTCACTCCAGCCAAGAGGAAGCTCAAAACATGCCCATTTCACAGATGAGCAAACTGACCGAGAGAGGGCCAGAGATTTGGCCTGGACCACACAGAGTGGCAGGGCCAGAACTCGAATGCAGGCCACCTGACATGTGATTCACGCCCCTCTCTGCACCAGTGTTAGCCAGCCTCTCCCTGACCCTTGCTGGCTGGGTGGCTCTAGAAAGAAGGAGGTGCCTTTACCTCAGTCCCCTTTTCTGCACAATGGGGGTAAAACTTGAATGGCCCCTTCCACGGATAGTATGAGATTCATGCAGCCCAGCAGTGCTGGAACCGGCAGGAAGGGCACTGGGTTATTTACTGATTGGGACAAGAAAGTTAAATTTGCCAGACCAGCCAGGGCTTGCTGTCCTGGAAGAGGGTGTCCTAAGCCACCCTGCCCTGGGCCCCAGAGGACATCTTGGCCCACAGTCCAGCCACCTGTTGTGGTCCGAGGTTTGTCCCTCCCACACTGTGGCTGAGGCCCAGCAGTATCTGTTCCCATCTTCTACTCAGCTCTGCTTCCTCACTTGGGCACCGAGAGACTCTCCCAGCCTCTGTGCAGCCCTCCCCAGTTCGCTCACTCAGCCTACTGGCCCTTCCCCAAGCAGCTCTGGGGAGCCGAGAACATGCCCATCCAGCCCTGGCCCTGGCCCTGCCTCAAGATGGCAGCGCAACCTGGAGAAAGACATGTGCCCTTTGGGGGTCTTAGTCTCCACCTCTGTGGTCTAAAGCCATCCACCCCACTGTAGGAGAGCAAATGAGTGTCTTTGTACAGCAAATCCCAAACCCCAAACCAAGCCTGCTGCCACCTTGCTTTCTGATTCCCAGCAACCTGAGAACAAGATTTTGAGGCTGTCAATCTTTACAGGAGCAGACAGCCTCTTCCAAGACGCTTGCAGTGACTGGTGGTGTCTAACGGCTGCCCTTGAAGTTTAGCATCCCCAGGCATAACCCGCGATGTCACCAGGACTCCCAGGCGCAAACACCCAGTAACATTTCATCACAATTAACAACAGCCTGGGGTATAGTGGCTCATGCATTGTGCCTGACCACAAAGCCAGTCATTCTAAAGCATCAGCAGCTCCACCGGGGAAGAAGCTTTCAGCTCCAGTAAAGATTGACAGCCTCAGAAACCTCTGGGACAGTTCTACCTTGGCCTGTAGGGTGGAAGACTGGTGGGTGTCTGAACAGTGGACTGTGAAGTCAGCAGACCAACGCTCATCCCACCGAGGCCTGTTTTATTCCAAATCCTTAAGGGCTTTTAGAAAACACAAAACCATAAAAGGAGGCAGAAGTAGTACTTCAGTGCCAAGCATTAACCTTTGGTTACTGGATTAGAGGCATGTCAGGGTCCTGGGGGAGGAGCAAGGAGCCTGGTCGTTGAGAGGGCTTGGGTAGCTTGGGGCTCAGCCATTTGTCCCTGTGTGAAAGGGTTTCAAGATCTTAACAAGCCACAGTATTACTGAGAAGCTTTTTTTTCTGCATAAGAGTTAACTCAACATGCCTCCTTAGCCAGTATTTGGGTTCCCCTTTCTTCAATCCCACCCCTACCAAAAACAAGCAAACAAACTGCTAGGGAGTTGATTCCAACTCCTAGCGACCTTATAAGGACAGAGTAGAACTACACTATAAGGGTTCTGAGACTACAGAGTTTTATGGAAGCTGATGGTCTCATCTCTCTCCTGCAGAGCAACTGGTCGGTTTGAACCACTGACCTTCCAGTTAGCAGCCTAGTGCTTAACTTAAGGCATGGCTTGGGTAACCCCTTGGGTTACCCCATGGCTTACCCCTTTCTTCAACAGTCGGACAAAGATTTTCCCCCCAAAGAATCCATCCTCTAGAACCCCTCATTCCTCCAACAGACATTGACTGCACACCCATTCACATGCTAGCAGCACAGCCCAAGGCCTCCATTTGAATGAGAGGGGTAGGACCCCCTCCTCAGGAATTCCTAGTCCAATGATTCATGTGATCACCTCATGACTGTACAGACTACCATCAGACAGGCCTAGTGGGCACACTGGGAATCAAAGGAAGAAAGGCAGTGAGAGAACTTTCCCTGAATGTGCCTTGTGAGTTGGGTTTTGAAGGGTGCCTAGGAGCTCAATAGACCAAGCCCGAGGGAGGCCCTTCCTCAAAGCACGTAGAACTGGGACAGAGGCAGGAGGGCTGGAGAGCTCCTACCAGGAGTGGGACTTGCAGGTCACACCAAGTCCCCTCCCCATGGGGCCACGTACCTCTTGTGCTGGCAGCGGGCTGAGAGCTGCCTGCTTCTTCCGTTGGCTTTCTTTGGATTCTTTCTCAGTCTCCCGGACCAGTTGCCGAATGAAGCCCCCTGGGATGACAGAGAACAGAGGGGGTGGGGAGGAGGGTGGGGGGCTCTTGTCCTCTTCCCGAATCTGTTTTGCAGAGGGGAGGGAGGAGAAGGCTCAGTGAGTGAACCAGTGGGGATGTCATCCTTCAAAGAGCTGGGGACAGAGCTTGGCAGGGGGCTGGGGAGAGCACTGGTGACCAAGCCCAGAGATGAGAGGGGCAGGGCAGGGCAGACTCAGGAGGCCTCCAGGAGCCCAGAAGACGCCAAACAGCCACAGACCTATGAACAGCAAGCTATGCCTGTCAGGGTGTTTGTCCCTGGATCTGGGTCAAAGACACTCCTCGGCATGGGACAGACTCACCTTGAGGAGGATCTGCCCCAGCAGAGGGGGTCTTCCAGTTCCCAGGTTGGAGTGGACCCCGGGGGCTTGTCCACACACACAGTCCACACCTCATGCCCTCCCTCAAGTTCCAGCCTCCATCTGTTACATCCTTAATATCACAGGATAGGAGTTACTAGTCAGTGTAGAACTGTGCTCCAAAGGACCTGCAAGGAATGTAGACTGCCAGATCCTACTTCCGAAGCCCCTCCAGGTGTACTTGAACCACAAACCTTTCAGTGAGCAGTTGAGGGCTTCCCTGTTGGCATGTGCCAGGGTCCTCAGAGTCAGAATTGATTCAATATCCACTTGGGTTTGTGTCTTGCTTCTACATTCTTTTTAGGGTGACTGGACTTACGCACTCAATCACTAGCTAAAAGGTTGGTAGTTCAAACCCATCCACAGGCACCTCCGAAGACCAAGCCTCAAACCCACCACTGTTGGGTTGATTGTAAATGGTTGGCAAGGCATGACTGCCCCACCCCCACCCCCCATGGGTTCCCGGGCTGTCGCTCTATGTGCAAGGAGACAGCTTCATCTTCCTCTTGCAGAGCAGCTGGTAGGTTCCAACCGCAACCTCTGAGTTCGCAGCCTGAGACGTTGCCCGCTGTGCCACCAGGGTTCCTTTCCTTGGGAGACCGGCTTGGCAATTGGGGGCCAAAATGTGGCCTGGTGAGCACCAAGGAGCAGTTAGGCTCTGTATCTCTGAGGTCCCCACAAGTCCTACTCCATGGCAAGCAGCCATCAAAGTGCTGATACAATCAAAGAAATAATGGCAGTTGGGGACAGGTACCTGCTCCCCAGACTCCAAAACCAAGCTCATGTCAACCCTACAGGACAGGACAGAACTGCCCCGGGGGCTCCAAGACCGTCACTCTTTGCAGGAGGACAAAGCTCCGTCTGTCTTACTCAGAGCAGCTGACGGTTTGGAATTGCTGACTTTGTGGTAAGCAGCAAGAGGGAAAAGCTGGCAGCCCTGTGACTCCAGCCCACTCAACTGCACTAGTATTCTCTATGTAAGATCTTGATGGCCTTTCATCGGGAGCTGGGCAGAAGCACACTGTCCAACACAGGACCTAAAATAGTGGTGCTGAGTCCTGGAATTTACGTCCAGAAACATAACCCAGGCCAGAGTTCATTGGACTTAGCTGGGGCTCAGGACCCCTCATTTGCCACAGAGACCCAGGTGGGAGTGGTGGGGGTGGGAGTGGGGGCTGAGCTATGGGACCAGCAGAGTCTGGTGGGCTGTCTTTGTTCACCAACATCATTACAACTCCCCATGAAAACACCACCCTAATGGCAGAGGAGCCATGATAGGAATCAAAACCATTTCTTTTCTGTGTCTTCTGTGGATGGCTGGCAGACTTGGTCTGTGTAGCCCGGTGGATAACAGGGGCATCCAAAGGAGAGAGGGTAGTCCATGGACGAAGACAGGCCCATCCCGACATCTGCCCAGGGACAAAGACGCATGGGAGTACTCTAATCCAGGCTCCCAGGCCACACCGCAAATCGTTCTTCCCAGAAGTCCCTGGGTGGTGCAAACAGTTAATACACTCAGCTGCTAACCCAAAGGGGGAAGAGTCCACCCAGAGGCATCTCAGAAGCTGGGGGATCTTCTGAGGATCCCCTCTTGGCCATTGCAAGCCCCATGGAGCACACTCCCTTCTGACGTGCCTGGGACTGCTCTGAGTTGCAGTCCACCCAAGGAAAAGTGGTTTCTCCTTCCCAGTATGGACAGAGACCCACTTTGTGGGTGAGTGTGAGTCTGAGCATGCCCTCTACGACAACCAAGCGATGCTCAGTCCTACTCTCAGATCCATTTGGGAGGTTGGGGGCAAGGGACAAGCTTCCAGGGCACTCCGATGTGTCAAGTGACACACAGGCTGATGAGATGAGGGCTAGAGGAGACTATAGGCAGCAAAGAAAGACAATAATAGCCCATCATGGTCACTGGTATGAAATATAAGGGGCCTTCAAAATGTTGGCAGAAAAATGAAAGATATTTGTCCAGGGACTTTTGAAGCTCCCTTACAGGCAAAAGAGAATAATCTTGACTGGGGAGATCAGCCTATTCCTCCATGTCCCATGGAGACAAAAGGTACACCCCCACCCCACCCCCCGCCCCCCGTCCTCCTCTCATGCAAACAGACTACCTTCATGTCCAGACCCGTGACCAAGGCCAGGGAGGAACACGGGCTACCCACAGAGGAGTCAAGGGCATGGTTGACCAGGATGGGACATGGGAGTGGACATGCTACAGGGTTACTCAAGATGATAGCCTCCCTGCCCCGAGGGGCCACTCGGCTATGCCTTGTCCTCCAAGGGTCCTGTGACTGCCATCCCAGCCCTGACCATGACTTTCCTTCTGCTCCCAAAGGGCGAGGCGTGATGAGATGGCCATGATGAGGCAGGTCCAGGCTGTGAAATGATGAGATGGGATGATGAGATGGGATGATGAGATGAGGAGATGAGGAAGCAGTCCCTGGCACACAGCACAGGACGAGGTTCTACAAACACAAGACGGATACATAAGACACTCGCTCACAACCGAACTCACTGCCATCGAGTTTATTCTGACTCACAGTGACCCTACAGGACAAGGCAGCACTTTCCCTTGTGAGTTTCTGAGATTATAACTGTTCATGGTAGTAGAGAGCCCCATCTTTCTCCTGTCCATACGACATGGTGAGAGAAAAGAGGGACTCCATTAGCTCACATGCACAGCTCACACGCACACCCTCACACACTGACCCAACCTCATAGAGTAGAATGGTCCACCATCTCCAGCCATCTTCCCCTGCTCAGTGGAGTTGTCAGGAGGAAGGGATCTAGTTATGGAGGACAGAATGTACTGACATCCTTGGCCTTTGGGTCTCACACTTTTTCTTGAACGTTCCATTGAAATTATATGAAGCAGTGGGGAAGGGGCTGTGGTCCAGGAGTTCATGGAAAACTGGAATATAAAGATCATAGACTGTCTCCATGGACTTTTGGAAGACCGCTCTACATACCATTGAAATACTATGGAGTGCAAAAAAGACACCCCGAAACCAAGAAAAGAACCGCACTGTCCGTGAGTTGATGCCAACTCATAGCGACCTTATAGGACAGGGAAGAACTGCCCCTGTGAGTTCCTGAGATGGTAGATCGTTAATGGAGTAGAAAGTCCCATCTTTTGCCTGTGGACTATCGTAAGAACAAAGGAGTCTCTCTTAGAAGAGGTACAGCCAGAACGCTCCCTAGAGGCAGGAATGGTAAGACATACGTTGGACATGTTGTCAAAGGAGACCAGTCCCTTGAGAAGGAAGGACCTCATGTACAGTAGAAGGTCAGAATGGACTTAATAGCGGTGCGGTCAGTTTGGTTTGGTTTTTGTTCATCTCTGCTCTCTAGTCTGGCCGTGCAGATTAAGGGGGGGCAAGAAACCACAGCCCCTGATTTCTCCCAAGGTTTTGAGGGAGCCATATTGTTATTGAGAGCCTTAGATACACCGCAAGTTCAGCAGTTCAAAGCTACCTGCTGTTTCACAGGAGAAAAATGAGGCTTTCAACTCCCCTAATGAGTTACAGTCTCAGAAACCCACAGGGGCTGCTCTTGTATGCCCACTGAGTTTAAAGACATTCCCAGAATAAGACTTAGTTAAAGACCATTGATGGATGCCATCTTGAACCAGAAAATATGGCCACTGAGTGGTTACAGCATCACAAGGAACAGACACAGCCTTAGAGAAGGGGGAGTTCATGATTGAAGGGGCTAAATGACCCCACCCGTTTTCTTGAGGTGTACTGTGGCTGCCATAGGGCCACCCAGTTGCAACATTCTGGAGCTATCATTATCATAGAATGCTCCATCCTCCAGCCACTTGCCCACCGGGGGGCTCGCAGGCAGCTGTTACCTTGCGTTAGTCCTTTCTGAGGCACCTAGCTTTTTTCACTCAATGTCTTTTCCAGGTTTCTGGCCTAGCATGGACTGGAAACGCTAACCCCTGCTTTACTGCTGACTAATATTCTATGCTACATATATACCACAGTTTATGTATCTATTCACTCATTGTGGCACTGTGGGTTAGGCGCTGGGCTGCTAACTTCCAAGTCAGTGGTTCAAACCCATGAGCTGCTCTACAGGAGAGAAAGGAGGTTGTGTGCTCCCACAAAGACTGACAGCCTCAGAAACCCACAGAGAAGGTTCTACTCTGTCCTACACGGTCGCCATGAGCCAGAATTGGCTGGAGGGCAGCATGGGGTGTTATTTCCATTTGCAAACATTCTCCTGCAAGTTTTTGTTGAATGTGTGTTTCCATTTCTCTTTAAGTAAACTCTTAGAAGTGGAATAGCTGGGACATATTTGGATGTTAGTCTGTTGATTGAAGAAACTGCTAGACTGTTTTCCAAGGGGCTGCCCCATGCTCCCTGCTCACTCGACATGTTGTTTGTTAAGCAAATAAAAATGTAGACCATTCATTATAGTAAGAGATGACAAAATCCTTAAAGGATGATTGATTGTTAGGGACATTTTTAATAGTTCATTAACATACAATTCACGTATCGTATGGTTCAATAGTTCAGTCACACTCATAAGAGTCATGCAACCATCACCACAATCACTTCCAGGACATTTCTTCTTTCTTGTACTCGTTGTTAGCTCCCAATTTTCCACCAACCTCCCCTGCCATGACACTATGAAACTACTATTCTAGTTGCTGTCTCTGTAAAATTACCTATCCTGGGTTTCAAATACAGGAAAACATACAAAAAAACAAAAACAAACACAGTCCAACAATAATAACAATGAAACAGAGAAAAAGCTAAATTTTTTTAAAAAGCAAGAACTATTAAAAACTGGAACAAATATACATTGGCTCAAAAGGGAGATCAAATGACAAGGTGTCACGTTTTAATCTAACCACCCTGCAAAGTAATCTTTCTGATAACAAGGTCCTTCTCATCCTTGGTTTATAGTCTGAGGGAATTCACTGGAGGCTTAACATTCACATGGGGGATCCTACACATAGATGTTGGGCTTTCACTGTCACCCACAACCTTCTGCAAACTGGGTGTACCGAATTTAAGTTCTGACACTGGTCCCTCCTCTCGATCTGGATTTTATTATTTACAATCTTTGTATCACATAGGCTGGTGTGCTTCCTCTGTGTGCACTTAGCTTGTGCTTCACTTTAGACGGTTGTTTGTTTTAATACAAGCCTTTAAGACCCCAGACACTCTTCTTTCTCATAGATGGACGCCATCTGGTTTCAACACCACAATCCTGCTAAAGTTTGGGCAACTTTTTTTAAAAATCATTTTATTAGGGGCTCATACAACTATTATCACAATCCACATATATATCAATTGTGTAAAGTGCATTTGTACATTCATTGCCCTCCTCATTCTCAAAACATTTCCTCTCCACTTAAGCCCCTGGCATTAGGTCCCCATTTCCCCCTCCCCCTCCCTCATGAGCCCTTGGTAATTTATA